CTTTTCTATTTAAAAGGTGAAAAAATCAAGACTTTTTTATTCAAAAAATAAAATTTAGAACTTTATTAAAAATTTACCTAAAATATCATGATTTTTCTGGAGATATCCCATTCAAATAAATCCTATATTGCTAATTAACAACAAGTGCAAATATTGGGCCTATTTTGGTGGCTCTCCTCTCACATATTATAAGATAATGAAGGTTTGCTAGACAAGAAGAAATGAAAGATGTAGAAGTGAAGAACCTTATATAAACCAAAGAGAAAGAAGGAAACTTCTTAAAGAAATAAAATCGATGGTGATGTAACATATTTTTTTTAGTTAAGAATTATCTAAATATGTATTTGGAAGAGCTATTAAGAATATTATTTTGATCTATATTGGTTTTTACGAGATTAATTTTTTTAAGCAATCATCTATAGCAATTAATTATTTTTTATTATATTGAAAGGCTTCGAACCAAACGACATTAGATGTTGCCTCGTGGACCATTTAAAACGTTAGAGTTATACATTAGTTTATGTATATAGATTTGAAATAATGTTTTTGTTATGGCAATACATTATTGATATCTTGAATCCGAACATTATATACAGAACATTATGTATGTTTCAAGGTACTTATACAACATTATTATTATACTTATACAACATTATTATTATACGTTTAAACATAGAATTTTAATAAGTTTTTATTATGCATAGGTAATAATTGGATTTTGTTTTACAGAAAAAATATTTGAAGTAAATTAACGGGTTTTTAACACATGTTTTAATTCGAAAATAATGATTTGGGAAAAAAAACACAAGTTATAATTATGATAAATTGCAATAAAATCACTTACTTAACTGAAAATTTCGATTTTCACACCGTATTTTTCTTTCAATTAAGTCATTATATTAATAATTTTGTTGTAATATCAACCAAATAACGGGTTCTCCATATTCGTCAGATAACTATTTTTTTCCAAACTGCAATAAAGTCATTAAGTTTACTAAAATTTCAATTTTCACACCGTATCTTTTTTTCAATTATATCATTATATTTACAATTTTGTTGCAATATCAACCAATTGATCGGTTACCATTGATCTAACAGGTTACCTAATAAATGACATGACATATTGTGATGTCGAAACCACATCATATCTTATGTGGTAGGATTGAGTTTCAAATATAGGTTTTGCTTCGAACCTAATTTCACATATCTTCTTCTCTTCTCCTCTTCTTCTCGTTAGAGTATTTCTTCACAAATGGCGTCTAAAGGTCGAACTACTGGTTCAAACTCACTTAAAAGTCGGCAAAATGGTGTACTCACCATTTCAGGAGATGGTATTGTGGTTTAGAAACTCGATTTGTACAACAAATAAATGAAGACCTCTACAAGCTCAATCCAGGAAATTATATTGTTTTTAACACTTTTTACTACAAGTGAATAAAGACCCCTATAAGCTCGATCCAGCAAAAAAGGCTTAGTCACCCTTTTAGGAGACATTTTTTATTATAATGTTTAATGTTTAATTCTCATTAGAGTATTTCTTCACAAATCGCGTCTCAAGGTTGATCCGTTGATTTAACCTCACTTAAAAGTCAGTGAAAATGGCATACTCACCATTTTAGGAGATGTTATTATGATTTAGAAGTTTGATTTGTAAAATAAGTAAATGAACACTCTGATAAGTTCAATACAGGAGATGTTAAGTGAGTTTGAACCATTGGATTTGCTTTGTATAGGTCTCCATTAATTTGTTGTACAAATCGAGCATCTAAACCACAATATCATCTCCTGAAAGGGTGATCATACCCTTTTCGTTGACTTGTAAGTGAGTTTGAACCATTGGACCGACCTTCAGAAAACATTTGTGAAGAAATACTCTGACGAGAAGATGAGAAGAATAGAAGATATATAGAATTGGGTTCGATGTAAACTCAATATTTGAAACTCAAATTTGCCACATAAGATATGGTGTGGCTTCCACATCACAATATTGTCATGGTGTTTATTTGGTAAACTATATGATTGATGGTAGTCGGTCAATTGGTTGACATTGCAACAAAATTGTAAATGTAATGACTTAATTGAAAAAAACAAAACACAATGTCAAAATCAAAATTTTGGTAAACTCTAATTTTATTGCAGTTTGGGAAAGTGGTTACCACGAGAATAGAGAGAATCAATCATTTGTTTGATATTACAATAAAATTGTAAATATAAAGATGTAACTAAGGTAGAGAAAAATAGGATGTCAAAATCAAAAATTTTGGGTTACCTGTGGCTTTATTCCAATTTACCCTTCAAAAAATGATCCAAATACATACAAATAAACTTAAATTATGAGAACCATGGTTTTATGTAGTTTTAAAAAGAACCATGTTATCCCTCTTTCCAAATGCATGTCATTATACCGATAACAAAAACTTCTTTGTGGCATGTCTTAATCTAATTAATGCTAAATTCTATAAACTAACTTTGTTTCTTTATTTATTAATTTAATTCATTTAGAATGATAGTTATGTTTAACAAACAATTCATTGTCAAGAAGATGTCGAAAGACTAATTGTAATATCCAAAAGTGATAGTTGTTTTGATTATATCTTTACTTCTTCCATTTTAATGAATGATCAACTAATGACGAGCCGAGTGTAGGAACCCACTTGAGTTAATGATGCAATATGATTGTGTTAAAACCCATGTCAAATTCACTCATCATACAAATAAACTTAAATTATGAGAAGCATGGTTTTATGTAGTTTTAAAAAGAACCATGTTATCCCTCTTTCCAAATGCATGTCATTATACCAATAACAAAAACTTCTTTGTGGCTTGTCTTAATCTAATTATTGCCAAATTCTATAAACTAACTTTGTTTATTTATTTATTAATTTAATTCATTTAGAATGATAGTTATGTTTAACAAACAAATTCATTGTCAAGAAGATGTCGAAAGACTAATTGTAACATCCAAAAGTGATAGTTCATAGTTGTCTTGATTATATCTTTACTTCTTCCATTTTAATGAATGATCAACTAACGACGAGCCGAGTGTAGGAACCCACCTGAGTTAATGATGCAATATGATTGTGTTAAAACGCATGTCAAATTCACTCATCATAGTATCACTTCTAGAAAAGGCAAACAGCTTCCGACGAAATTACTTAGGCAATATTTCCGTCAATAATCAGTTAATCACCAACGTACTTCCAATAAAATAGTGAAAAACTTAAAAACCTTAATTTTTGCAACAAATACCGACGTAATAGTGACTAAGGTGCTGTTTGTTTTTTCTGAGGCAAAATGTCTGCAGTCTGCAGACCACATCTGTAGACCTCTGCAGTAGAAGAGGTGGACCAAACGTCTGCAGTCTGAAAAAAGAAGACTGTTTGTTTTTTTAACATCTGCGGGCTATTAAAATAAACTGATTTTTTAAAACTTCAAAGCGAATTTTTTATATATTTTTACGACTTTATTATAAATATATAACGAATCTAGATCAACTTTTATGTATTATTATATAAAAAATAAAAATAAAAATGGTATTAATTCATATACATATTTGATAAAAACCAACAACTTTGATTGCAAAGTTATAACTAAACATTATAATTAGTGATCAAAGAATTTGATACATAAATAGATGGAAATAAACTTCGATTTTTTCAAATAAATCTATTAAAAACGTACGATAAATATTTTCTCGAGAAATTGATGATACTCTATTAAATAAAGTTTTACAAAATTTTGGCAAAAAAAATATAAGAATATATTATGATTTTTTTTCATATTTATATAAACAACTTCAACGACTATTATTATAATAAATTTTTATTTATAAATTTGTTAAAATTATCATGTTTGTATCGTCAAATATTTTTTTTTAAGTTTTGTAATTTTTTTTCATATTGTTTATCATTAATAAAGTTGGAAAAAATATAAATTAAAAAAAAAAAACTTAAAAAAAATAAAGATATATATGTTTTTTTAAGCTAGAAGATGTCTGAAGATGTTAGAAGACTCTGGTCCACATCTGCGCCAAGAAGAGGGCGCGCAGACATTTTTAGGTCTGCAGTCTTCAAAAAAACAAACAGTCTGCGAAGACTAATATCTGCGCGTGGTCTGCGCGGCGCAGACAGAAGATGTCTCGCAGATCTGCAGACAAAAACAAACACTACCTAAAAGTCTTTTCGTCTTTGATCACGGGTAGAATACTGATAGAATACAAATAGATAAATAACGAAATAATAAGCTTTCGTTTTATTTTAGAGTTTATTGGTGTTCCGTCGTATTAATCATCCACGAAACACTTTTTTATGAGATATATCAGTCTCTTTATTAGTATTATTAAGGAAATAATTCAATTATTATTATTATATATTATATAAAATATATAAAAGAAGAGTTTTCAATTGAACAGTACTCCAGTTCATTGGACCCTTTCCTATTGGTAAGGTTTTTTACTTTTTTTTTCTTTATTTATTTACTTTTTGCTATTAGCTGTCTTTTTTTTGTTATTTATCCATTTTTAGTTTTTATAGTGGAGTACAAGTATCATCAATTGTGCCTCTTCCATCTACGTGTTTGTTTCTTCTGCAACTTCTTGCTTACTCACCCTTTAATCCTCTACCGTTCTTTCGTTGCTTTGTCTTCCCGATTGTTCCACTTTTTTCAGTTTCGTATCTTCTGCTTCATCTCTCCTCCAGTGATCTTCCTTCTCTCTTCACCTACTCCGTGATTTTATGTAAACCGAAGAACCCTAAGGGAAACGGCGATTGTTCCCGTTCTATAATCCATCGCCAGATTGACGAACCCTTCTTAATTTTTTTTTTCTTTTTTGGTTTGGTGGGTTTTTTTTCCAATGAAACCGATTGTTTAGGCCAATGGGGATTGGATTCGTGGCCACCGCTACACCGCTTTACCTGGGTAAATCCACCACCGCCTTTTCTCTGTTCGGGGCCGGATCTTTACTACTCATCGACTTAGTTTAATCCATCCACTCCTTCTCGATGTTTCCTCCACCGTCTCACCTTACATGTGTCTCATCTTCTCCACCGTTCGTCCAAACCACCGCTACTCCTTCTCAGAGGATTAGGATTAGGGTCAACACGATGAAGCTTTCAGACGTTCAGGGGCTCCTCTTTTCCCTTCTCGGCTTCGACTTCCCATCGATCCGTAAGCATCGATTTACGGATTATTGTTCCAGGTATGTAATCGATTTGAACTATCTATTGATTTAAACTCATTTAGTGAGTGTGTGTATGTTCGTAAAATCAGAACCGGTGATGGGATGGAAGTTAATTCAGCATATAGTTGTCTTTTAGATTTTCAGTTTTTGGTCGCAGGCTCCACCGTCAATGTATACATCTGCACAGTTCAGTCTCCTTCGCTATTCACCATCATCTCATGTAAAGCATGTCTAAAATTTTGTTAACAGTTTAATTTTTGATTCCCACCATTATTCCTTCTAATAAGATTGATACAGAGAGCCGTTTTCCAAGCTACTTCTACGCTTCTTGCGCTTAATTTGGTACTCTTTCATTTTCTCTCTTTTCCCCTTTCTTTCTCTAATAAATCGAATGATGGAGTGTACAGCGCATGTGTGGTTGGATGTGAGGATGGACGAGGATGGAAAGATGACGTTCTTACTGACAGGAACCAAACACCAATGACCTTGATGATTTCCGCTGGTAAAATTATTGAACCCTAATTTCACCTTTTTCAAAGGTAATTGATAATCTGTATATTTTTTTATGTTTTGTGTTTCAGAAGGAATGAACCGGATGCAACTTGTGAAATCCCCAATTTCACGGTCAGAAAAGACCGATTTGTTTATGCTTTGTTTTAAAATTAGAGTTATCTTTTAAGGAAAACAGTTGCGGATTTTTCCCAAAAACAAAATATGATAACCATTTATCAAAAATATTTCTATAAAAGAATGTATTTTTATTAAATAATAAAACCTCGGGATGTCATGTTCCGATACAGATCAAAAGCATAAATAATATAAAATAGACCTTGCAATAATCATTTATAACCACTGATTTATAATCCAAAATCTCTCGTCAAGTCCACCAACTTATACTCTTATGCCATTACCTGTGATGCAAAGAAAACTAAGTGGGTCAGGCTTGGGAGCCTGGTGAGTATATAAGATTTTCAACCCATAATAATATATTTATTATATTCAATCATCAAACAATCAACCAAATTACTCATCCTCATTATCTTCTTTATTTCTTAAGGTTTTACCCTAAAAATCGACTATACTTTCTTCATTCATTCCTAAGGATTTACCTAAGGAACTGGCACAAAGTCCATTTGCTACCACGGTTTATACCACAGGCACTATGTCGCATAGTTACCAGGGTTCATACAATTAGCACTACGTCTCATAGTCACCAAGGTTTACACAATCGGCACTACGTCTCATAGTCACCTGGGTTTACACAAAAGGTACGAAGTCACATTGTCACCAAGGCTTACTCAATAGGCACGAAGTCGCATCATCACCAACTATTCCATCTACCCATGTTCTACCTAACATTTTTGTAGATATAAATACAAACACAATTTAAATCATTTAACATCCGTATAAAAGTATTAATTCCAAGTCCATCTCAACTAGATAATTAATATATAACACACAACATGTATTTCATAGCTAATACTTTATATTTATGTGTTAGAAGAAAGTAATTAGGCACTCACGCATATAAACAACAACAATATATATATATATATATATATATATATACACACACACACACACACACATAACACGTATTTTATAAAGTACTTCATATCTATGTGTAAGATGAAAGTGACTATACACTCACACATTTAAATAACGACAATATATATATATATATATATATATATATATATATATATACACACACATACACACACACACACATAACACGTATTCTATAAAATACTTGATATCTGTGTAAGATGAAAGTGACTATACACTCACTTGATCAGAAGATGATCGGACAACACTACGATTTGTAGAAGTAGTATTCTTGGGTAGATCTGGAAGATCTTCACAAAAACCAGGCTCCTCGCGGGCAGGGCTTTGGCTCAGGAATCTCACTTCTCGGGATCTTCAGGACTTCGGAACTTGCTTTAGGGCTCGGGAATGATACCGGGGCTCTGGGATATAATTGGCACGCAAATCGAGGCAAAAACTTAGAGAGATGAAAGAAAATGAGCAAAGAAAATGGTTGATCTCGATTTCTATTTATAGGCTGTTGGGTCTGGGATTACACTGGGCGTAATTTCCAAGTACGTTGGGCGTAATCTTGGTTACGTTGGGCGTACGTTTCGGATAAGCTTTGGTATGCGTGCCACGATCTTCAAACATTCATAACTTTTGCATACGAGCTCCGTTTTCGACGTTCTTTATATCCACGCGTAGGTGAGATTATTCTCTACAAATTTCATTTAGGCTCCGTCGGCTAATTTTGAATTTATTTTTATTATATTATTTTTAGTAGGCAGGGATAGGAAAACTCCGTTATAAATTCACAACTTCTTTATCCAACGTCCGTTTTCGTCTGTCCTTTTACCGTTGGACTACTATCAACAAGATCTTCGATTCTCGTTTAGATTGTTTCGGCTAAAAACTGCTCGATCTCGAATCGAGTATTCGGGCTACAAACCGCTAAGTCGAAACTTAGAAAAATCATAACTTCCTCATACAAAGTCAGATTCGGACGTTCTTTTTATGCATGCTCATGGTTTAACGAACTCTACTACTTTTGATTAGATCACTAAGGCTAAATATCAATCTAACGTAAATTCACTTTTTACATCATTCAGCGTCGTGCCGGTTCTGTTGCAAAACTTCAACAGGTCGTAACTTCTTCGTTATAACTCGGATTTCGGCGTTCTTTATATGCACGGAAACCTTGTGACATATACTACAACTTAGTTAAGATTATTCATTCTAAATAATCTTCTATCAAAAAGTCATTTTTGAAGCTTATCGTCTCTAAATTGACTAGCCCTAATCTACGGGCGTTACACATCTCAAGATGGGAAAACATATAATTATTTGATTATAGTTCATTGTGTTTTCCTCTGGAATGGTAATATTTCAGATTGCAGAACTTTGTAAAGGTTTTAGATTTTTCGATTCAAGATGATTATTGCCAAAGTATGTGATTCATTCTTCAATTTGATATTTATGGTGTGCAGTTTGTTTAATCAGTAATCACACAGTATTGACTCTCTTTTTTTCCTAATTTGTCAGTGTTTAGCTCTCTGACGACACTTAGTATTTCCAGACTTGCAGTAGACCTAGAAAAGAGATCAATTCAACTATCTATGGATAAGGGTAATATAGTTGTATTCTATCTTCAAATAAAAATGTGGTGAAGATGTTAACATATATAATTTATATATATGGAGATGAAGGAAATTTGGTTTCCTGTATAGATTGGTATTGACAAGTTCTATAGGTCAGGGCATTATTTTCCAGCAACAAACAAGGAAATCCCTTGCCACAAAGGGTATACTTCTACTTTCACATCCTGCATTACTGAATTTTTAGTTGTTTGATAATAAGATTTTCTTGATGTCATTTACTTTCTTTCTATTCATAATATTATTTAATTTAGGCAATATATACTTTTGTTCATTATTAATTGAAAAATAGATAGGTCATTGCAATGGATAGTGTGAGTATGCACATAACTATTTGTTTAAAGTTTTGTATATTTAATGTAATTGAGTTTACATTTGCTTGGTTATTAATTCCCTTGCAGTTTATAATAGTTCCGTTAGTAAATATGTTAAAAGAATTGGAATGTAAGTTATTTGTAACGCCCGCAGATCCGGGCTAGTCAATTTAGAGGCAATAGGGGTCAAAAATGACTTTTCGACAAAAGATTATTTAGAATGAATAGTCTTAACCAAGTTTTAGAATATGTCACAAGGTTTTCGTACATATAAAGAACGCCGAAATCCGAGTTATAACGAAGAAGTTATGGCCCGCCGAAGTTTTACGGCAAAACCGGCACAGCACCGGAAGACGTAAATAGTGAATTTACGATAGAAGACTTTTTAGCCTTAGCAATCTAAACAAAAGTCATATAATATGTTAAACTAAGAGCGTCGATAAAAAAAACGCCCAAATCTGACTTCGTATGAGGAAGTTATGATTTTTCTAAGATTCGGCTTAGCAGTGTACAGCCCGAAACTCGAATTTTAGTTCGAGCGGTTTTTGGCTTACGTGAAATAAATGAGAGTTGAAGATCTCATTAATAGGAACTCAACGGTAAAAAGACAGACGAAAACGGAGTCCGTATGAAGGAGTTACGAATTCTTCGCGGTCATTTAACAGTCTAAACGCCTCGTACTGTTAAATTTAAGATCGGTCGAGAATTAGCTGACGGAGTCAAAATGAAAATTGTAGATATTATTTTTACCTACGCGTGGATATAAAGAACGTCAAAAACGGAGGTCGTATGTGAAAGTTACGGATTTTAGAAGTCGGAAGTGTGTTGTGCGAAAATGGGTGATGTGGCACAATCTTGGCCATTGCTTTCTCCCCAAGTCTTGCCACTAGATGGTGACATGTGGCACCAAGTTCAGCCATTTTCACCCTATAAATACCACCTCTCCCACCCTCATTTTCTTCACACCTTTCCCATTCTTTCTTCTCTTTACTCTCTCTTTAGAACCTCTCTCTAGCCCCGAAATCCCCCGAAAAGCCTAGGGAACCTCCCTAGCACGAGGCGGAAGCCCCGGAGTGCTCGACGGCTCCGAGAAGAAGAGCTTTTCGGCTCGGAAACGCTACTCCAAGCAAAGCCTGGTTTTCTATAAAACCCGCTGTAAGTGAGCTACGTCTACGCTATTTTTAATATAGTTTTTATTTAATTATATGAACGTTATTAAGAACATATAATAAATACCTGGGCTATTATTATGGGTTATATAAGTATTTTTTTTAACGCTTATATAATAGTAATAATAGCTAGACTATTAATTAGTCTCGGCGAATAATAGACTAAAATCTATTGGTGATAATACTAGGTTTCGTCGAAGGAAATTATTTTAAAGTAAACGAAGCGCTGTCCGAGTACCGAGTCACCACCTTCTCAGGTGAGTGCATAGTCCCTTTCATCTTACACATAGATATGAAGTATTTATTATATAATTTACGTGTTGTGAGTGCATAGTCCCTTTCATCTTACACATAGATATGAAGTATTTATTATATAATTTACGTGTTGTGAGTGCATAGTCCATTTCATCTTACACATAGATATGAAGTATTTATTATATAATTTACGTGTTGTGAGTGCATAGTCCCTTTCATGAACATGATGTTAATATAAGTATTGATTGAAGTATTAATTATATGTTTATGTGCGAGTTAATTGATGTTGCTTGAAATTCGTGTTAAAGAACATACCTGATTATATTTGATAATTTAGGATAAAGAGTAGACCTAAATTAAATATGAGGAATATTGGGTAGTATATTCTTACGAGTACAAGTGAGTTAAACTCAGAGAATAGAAGTTAGTATATGTCACTTATCCGGGAGTATGGATTAGACATAGTCATTGTCCCTAGTCCGAGAATATGGATTAGGCATAATCATTCGTCGTTAATCCGAGAGTATGGATTAGCTATTGTCCCTAGTCCGAGAGTATGGATTAGGCATAATCATTCATCTTTAATCCGAGAGTATGGATTAGTCATTCGTCCCTAGTCCGAGAGTATGGATTTGGTAAATTCGTTCATTTCTGATCCGAGAGTATGGAGTAGGTAAAACGACTAATCTTAGGTCCGAGAGTATGGATAGCCTCGTTGCGAGGATCGACGGGGTGGGATAAGAGTTGTTTATATCTATGTATGGTGAAATTGTATATTTTGTGAATTTTAAACTATATATATGGTATAACATTGTGGGATTGAAATCCCTATGTGCTCACCAGGTTTCCCAACCTGACCCACTCAGTTTATTTATACCACAGGTGTTGATATGAAGTGACATTACACTGAGAGATTTAAAGAGATGTAGACCACTAGTGTGAATAATTGTAAGTTCTGTTTATGCTTATGTTCCTGTATTAACGATGACATCCCAAATGTTTTAAAATGAAATAAATACGTTTCTTCGAAAATGTTTTAATAACGTATTTACCATGTTTTTCTGGGAACAAATTCCGCAACCTTTTTATAAAATGAAGTACTCTGATTTTTATAAAGCATAAACAAAATCGGTCTTTTCTGGCCGTGATTTTGGGGATGTCACATTATTCACAATGTCGATTTTGGTTCTAGGAACATTGAAATACGACCAATTTCAATAAAAAAACATGGAGTAAATTACAAAATGTTCCCTGTAGTCTCTAAATTTTATAGTGTTCCGTCCAAAAGTGATGTCAATCTTAGAAATAAGGACCAAAATCAGAATAGTTAAACATAAGAGTAAATTACAAAAGAATGAAAGATTGGAAGTGCAGTATGAGGATGTTAAGTTAGCCAAGCCTAAGAATAGGCTTTTAAGTGACTATGCAAAAAGATTTCATGAAGTTAAAACTCCACGCAGAATGATATTTTCCTTTAAATATTAGTGTTAACGAAAACTACTTGTGGTGTTGCAGGTTTATGGACACACATCACCTAAACTAAAAAAATGTGTAAGATTGCAAATATCAAAGAATGGAATTGAAAGTCAATTATTAGGATTAATTGATTCAAGTAACGATGTATTAGTTGGTCCAGAATATATAAGTGCTGAATTTGGGAAGTGCTGCATTGATTCAGATGCTCCTTTGAGTTTGATGCTTCATTTTGGGTGGGTGATTGCAAAAGTCATAGGTGAGCAGTTCTTATGAGTATGATTGTGTATTTGGCTTCACAAGTGTATTTTTATATCTTCCTATCCCATTTTTCTTTGCTTTGCAATTTACTGGTCTTAGTTGGTCCAGAATATATACGTGCTGAATTTGGGAAGTGCTGAATTGATTAAGATGCTCCTTTCAGTTTGATGCTTCATTTTGGGTGGGTGATTGCAAAAGTCATACGTATTTCAACTGCCCAAGTTACCATAACCATCAACCCAAGTTGCAAATTAATCCCAATAACCAAAGTCATAAGGGTAAATCTGTCCAAATCCTAGAAAAACCAAAAAATGAATGTATTTTCCAAAAAAAACCCAATATACAAGAATATAAGCTAATGGAACTGTTAATACCTATGATATTGACTTTTGTTTAGTTAGTTGCACCATTGTGTCTTTTTGTCACTCACTTGCTAAC